CTTAATATACTTGGCGATTAAAAAGAGTGGCGGAAAGTTTCTTGCCAGTTCTTCTTACCCGCTCTACGCCCTTGACTTGCGAACTGGTAGTAAATGTAAATTTACAATTAATTTAACTTCTTTTTGACGATTCATAAGTGTACTTGTTTACCTATAGGAATAAATATATTTTGAGTAGTATAAAACGTAGGATTTTATTAGCTTTGTTGGCAATTGAGTCCGTGTGTTCAAATTTCAAGCTTCTATGTATACCACAATCCGAATGCTACCGAATAAGGTTCATTTGTCAAACATCTGAATGTTACTAGGTAGGTATATATGGCATCAAGTTGCATTCTTTTTCTTGGACCACAATATTAGGATTACCACATCGATTGTACATACAAAAATATGAATAGCAGTGCCGTCCTTACAACATGCGGACACGACCCGGGAAATCAAGTAGGTACAAAAGATATAATAATATATAGATAATACAAACAACAATAAAAAAAGGGTGCGTGTACTTATGTACTCGCGTAAGAAGTTATACTTCTTTGGCATTATTAGAAATAGTTTTTGATTGCATGTAAATAATTAATTACAATTAAATAATCAAAGTCTGGAAAAGGAGTCATTATAGTTAATAAAGTTCAGTTTACATTTGAAAATTAAATAAATATTTACTATTATTCTCTTACATAAAGTGTAACATAAATTCTATTAAGTTAAAAGTATTATTATTATATATTTAGAACATCTCTAGGTACCAAACACTAAGATGTATGTAGTAGCTTTGGCAGAATTGCACAATATAGCCATTGATTCAAAAGAGGAACCTATCTCTCATGATGATGAAGAGATCCTGCCCTCACTACCAACAGTGCCCTCATCTCAAAATACACTGCGTGGAGCAGCAGTGAGAGCCATTTTTATTGATGAAAACTTTTAAGTTTGATAGTTCTTAATTTAGGTTGTTTAACAATTAAGTTATTTAAACAAATTAAACACTATTTATCTTTAAAAGATTTTTATTTCATTATACTAGGTATTTATTTTTAAGTGACTCCAATGCCTTCATCAGTATTTTAATTATTGATATATAGAGTCGTAGAATATTTCTAAAAAGTTGCTGTAACAAACGCAATAAACAAAAGCAATGAATAACCGTTTATGTTTTAGTTTTACTCAACATTCAACAATAATACTCGATAATAATAATACCTACATACGGATAGTTAACCTCAATTGTATTGAAGCACTTAGGAAGGTTGATGAGCACAGTTTTTTCACAAATATTTTCTAATAGTAATTAGTATTGATTTAAATATTCAATTTAAATCACTTCTGATTATAATTCAAAAAGAATTGCTATATTTCTTTGAAAAAATAATTAAAAGTCCTTTATTTGTTTAAAAAGTAAATGTCATTATGGTCATTCAAAATTCTTGGCATAGCTGCTAACTTCACGCATATTCTATTTCTTTTTACTTGTAGATTGTCTTATTCCCATCTCGCTCGCGCACGCTATAATCACACTGACAACTTTGTGTCTCAGGTGCGCGCGCATCGGAAAAATTCACTCTCATCAATTTTTCATAACGCACCTAAAGAATAACTTCAAAAATTAAAACTACAGAAATATAAACTATAAAAAGAATTAAACTATTTCCATTGTCTTATAAAGATAATTATTATATTCGGAAAGGTATGATACAAATCCACGCTGTTCTGGAAGTATAGGTTTAATAAAACTATAAATTTTATTGTACATAATATGACGCGTTCAAATACTTTAGGAAAAGTGTTTAAAATACAAATTGTTGTACCTATAGTTGTATACGTTTACTTGTTGAATCAAAGTATATTTTGAAAATAAAAATGAGCTTATCTTATATAAAAGTTAAACGAAGAATGCGGGATGTGGATGAACTTAGCACCGTTGATTTCCGCACCGAGCTCTAGTTTGCGCGGGTCGCGTCAGGCGTGCGATTCGCGTATTCCTCGCGCGCCATGAGGATGTTATAAATATGGGTGCTTTTTGATCCACGCCTTTCCCCATTCAGGCCGAGCTACGCTCGCCAAAACAGCCCGAGCAGAGCTGTAAAGGCCTTTAATTAAAAAAGATCACGAACCTCGAACAAAAATCTTAAAATCTAATTATCCGCCGTGGTTTGATAAAGCTACATAGTTACTACACTACATAAAGAGAAAAATAGGCTTCGGAAAAAAAGTAAAAGAAAAGAGTAAGTAGAAAATTTGGTAATTGTAATAGATAGAATTTGGTAATAGATAATTTGGTTGCTTCGTACGCGTTGTGATAAAGCATATATTAGTAATGTTGAAAACAATATACCTATCTAACGGAAAAGTCCAAAAATGTTAAACATTTTTGGACTTTCATTAAACACAAAAGGAAAGACTCATATACAATAACACAAGAAATGTATCGAGGTGGTGAAAAAGCCACACAAATTAGCGAAATAGCTAATTTATTTGCGGAGCACTTTAAGTCACTTTTTAGTAGCAATTATATAGATAAATAAGTGAATCTCAATATCTCACAATATGTTATGTCCTACTACCGTTATGCAATGTTAGATTTACTGAAAAAGAAATTGAAAACAAAATTAAGACTAGATATTTGTAAAGGGTGTGGTCAAGATGGCATTGTCCCAGTTTTTATTAAAAGTTGTTTTTCTTCTTTAACGTTACCATTAAACTTAATTTTCAATAAATCACTAGAACTAGGCACGTTCCCGACAATGTGGAAGAAAGCTAGAATCATACCGATATTTAAAAAGGGTGAGATTAATATTATTACAAACTACAGACCAATTTCTATTTTAAATCAATTTTCAAAGATTTTTGAATCGCTTCTATGCCCAATACTCAAATCACACTGTAAAGTTTTTGTAGATACTTTTCTGTGCCAAAAGATCTACTGATACTAATCTCTTTGAGTATGTAATTTTTTTGGCAAATGCAATTCGTGAGAGAAAACAAATTGATTGTATTTACACAGGTTTTTCTAGTGCCTTCGACAAAGTTAGTAATTATGTTTTACTGAAAAAGTTGGATATGGTAGGTATTGGAGGGGAGGTTACTAAAATGGGGTTGCGTCATATTTGACAGATAGAACTATTTGTGGCAGTTGGTGGTATAAGATTCACAATCATACACTTCCACCTCAGGTGTTCCACAAGGTTCCCATCTTGGTCCTGTCCTATTTACCCTTTTTGTAAATGATATAGGTTCGTTTGTAAAATATAGTAATTTTTCATTGTATGCAGATGATATGCATTTTTTTAAATAATTAATAGCGCTCAAGATGTGAAGTTATTGCAAAGTGACGTCGTGCGTATACAGAGGTGGTGCGATCATAACAAAATGGTTCTAAATGCCAAAAGATGTTCGCAAATTACTTTCTCTAAAAATAAACTACCTGTCCCATCTAAATACACTATCGACAGAGTACTCCAGGTCCATGAAATTAGGGATTTAGGAGTTATACTAGATAGTAATTTATCGTTCATACCTCGTTATAACGCAATAGTCAATAAAGCTTCTAGAATGTTAGGTTTCATAAGGCGGTCGACTAAGTGTTTTAAAAATGTAAGTACAGCCTAAAATCATACTATTCAATTATCTGGTCCGTAGCATTTTGGAATATGGTAGTGTTGTTTGGAACCCTCAATATTCTGTCCATGTTGACAGAATCGAATGAATTAACAGCCATTTCTCCAAACATCTATGCCGATTAAATAATAACATTACCTATAAATGCGAGTATGAAAAATTTATTTCACTTGCAATCACTCCGCGATAGACGCCGCCTGATCGCCATTATATTTGTTTGCAAAATTTTAAATAACTTGGTAGTTTTACCTAATGTTTTAAGTCAAGTGAACTTCCTCTTACAGGCATGCTCCTCTACACAGATCTCTATCGGCATTGAACGACGCTCGGAGTACATGCGAAGCAGGTCCATTTAATGACAGTCTTTATGTCTTCAGGCGTAAGATGCTGCAGCCACTGTTGATTCGTGATCAATAGTCACCATTACAAAATATATATAATTGTTTTTTTTTTATTATTTTTAAATTGCATATTTGTATTTTTTAATCTAGTTTGTTTTATACTTTTAATGTTTAAGTTATTTTCTCTTCATCGTTGTAATGTTTCCCTCTAAATGTTGTGCACACTTGTTATTGATGCACATGCATGTATCTTGTTTTTGTATGTCATGTGTTCTCTGAAAGTGTTTGTATGTATTTCGTTAGTGTGCCTTATTAAAATAAAAAATCTAAGATCTCGGTATTTAAATGTCGTAATTAACTGATGAAAAAAATAATTCAAATATTAAAACAATGATAATTATTACTGAAATTTATTATAAGAAAAAAATTGTTAAAAATGTCTTTAATAATATTAAGAATTGATGAATAAATGTAATAAACTAAAATTACAATACAAAAGCACTGACTAAGCGAGAAAACGCATATAAGGCTAGAATTTAGCACCTTAAGACTATAAGTCTTGATATTGGCATTTCTTAAAAGTAAATGTCATGTCTGCCATGATATATCATATATACCTGAAACTTCATTAGGAGCATTTGTAGAATGCTCATTTCATTTATATAAATAAATCCAGATCAAAACTTTAACGCAAATTATGCAGAAAATAATAGTCAAATATAATCCTCGTAGAAAGAGGCACTCTATCTAAATGTTAATAAGGATTATAACCAATATTCAATCCATTATTAAATTATTCAAAATAATAATACAATGTCAAAATATATCTCTTACATTGAATTATATCTTAAATGATGTAGGCCACTTCATAATAATGTAAACATACATAGCTACATAACACAAAATCTCAACAATACTTTTGTTATATACAATGACTTTATATAATTTTGCAATAATGTGAACAATGATTATAAATAATGATAAATGAGTAATGCTTAGTGCTATAAATGATTTGAGCTGATAAGCAATAAAACAGACCAACTATTCAGCAGAGACTGCCTTTTCACTTTCAATGAGAGCTTCTGAAAGGTTTTCCTTTGTCTGCTGAATTTCTTCTTTTTCATTTGATGGCTCACGGGAACTGATAACTCCATTTTCGTGGCCATTTTCGTCGTTAACAGGGGATATTTCTTTTGAGGATTTATTTACATCTTCAGGTTTTAACCTATTTTCAGAATCTTCATTTTCTACTGAGGGGTCCTCCAATAGATTATTATCTGTATTGGCAGCTTGTATCTCTTCATTAGTGGAAGCTCCTTCATTTGCCTCATTATTTTCATTATCTCCAGATGCATCAACATTGGAGTTGTTATATTTGTTTTCTATACTGGATTCCTTAACACTGCCATTCTTAATACTCATCTGTGAATAAAAGAAAAATAACCAATTTCCATAATTTGAGATTTTATGATTATGTATAAAATTTCCGGCTAGCACTACCACTATTACCAACCTCATTTTCAGGACCCGGAAGAGATTCAGATGGTATTTCCAACTTTAAATATTGTTCTAAGGTATCCACTTCATTAGCCATATCAAATTGGTCATAATCCTGAATAAGAATATAATACATAAATTTAAAACAATGTAAAACTAAACTAATTTAAAAAATCTTTCAACTACAGTAATGTTATCAATCTTAAAAACAGTCAACCAGGGCCTAATATAATGGGGTAGTTAAATAATTACTTTTATAGATACTTTAAGTAATATTTACCATGTACTTTATACTAATTAGCATTTACACATGAGGAGATTTTGCTAAATAAAAAGGCATAATAAAGAAATAAATGTGGTTGATTCACACCAATGATTGTACATATGCCTTTGGCATGGATTCTACTACATCTACTTACATCAAAGGTCTAGACTGGTAAGTTAACAAGGCTACTTAAAAAAAAGGGGACTAAGAGATTAGAATGACATTCTTTTATACTGAAATTAATTTTTCAGTCTTCTGATTGTTGTTTTTTTTCCACATTATTTTAAAACTAAGCAAACCCAATATAACCATAAGTTCCTTATACATTAGTCATAGTATTATGATGCTGATGTCATCATCAGCCAACAAACGAAATTAGTTCATGGCACGAAATAAATGCTTAAAAGTTTTGTTTACCCCACAATACTCCTCATCATTAAATACTTGCGGCGGCAGCGGTGATCGGGGATTAGGGTCGCTCACAGTTCCGCCGTTACATTTCGCGTTGTTTTGCATAAAATCCTTATCGTCCTCTTTACCCGGTTCTGTTATATCGATGACTTCATATTTTATGTTTTTCGAATCTAATATCATCAGTACTCTTTGTTGTCTTTTTTTCACCTATAAAAGAACATTGTTAACAATGCAGCAAATTGTGAATCAGCTCTGTAAAACCTAAAAAGAAAACATTCCAACCAACAACAGCTTATTATTTACTCACTTCTTTGTTTCCTGAAATACCGCTTATGTAAACCTTGACAACCATAATGTTTTATTTTATTTCTTTCGTATTGGAGAAGCAGAAATTGTTTTATATTACAATTTATTAATTAGACGAAAATAAGGCGGCTTTGGCTATCAAAATAATTCCCGATTACTGAAGGTTCCTACTTGCTACTGTCAATGTCACATATATAAAATATCACTTCATAAAATTGACATTGAAACTTAAAATAATCAGGACCTCTAGACAAAGACAATAACTAAAGCAACAAGCGTACGAGCGCTAACGTAGAATTTGTATTTTGTATATGTATATGGTTGAATTTAAGAGTAGAGTCCGCGCCACCACTGATTGCCGATATACGCGGCGCTAATGAGTCGCGCAGCGTAGTAATATGTTGCTAGTGCTAGGTGCAAGCCGCAAGGCTATTTTACCCCAACGTAACATAAATTAATACGAAATTCGAGAACTACTCTCCAAGATTTGCTTCTAATGTTTTACCTTAAAACGAATAAAATAATATTTCACTGTAACGACAAATTTAGTTCCAGGGTTCCCGTCGGCAATGAGTGGTGGCGCGGACTCTAACATCACACATTTCATAATATGGTTGGTAATGTCATTTTCATACCGGTCAAGATTGCGATAGTACTTGACACTTAGTTATCCCCGTCTTTTCTTGAATTTTCCTCCATGCCACCTCTTTTTTGTATGAATTTTTGTAATTAACATGCCCAACTAAATATAATTCGGGATAATTTCGAATCAAATTTAATAATAATTCAATATTTTCGGCTTCCATTGTGCGAAATTCTGTCCTCACTGACAGAACGCGTGGTGACGCATTGCGATGCGAAACTCCGCTAGCGAAACGGCTGCGTCTGTGTAACAGCCATTTCGCAGTTACTTGCGAAACAATACCGACAAGGACGCAACTATTTCATCTAGCTATATATTAGAGCGAGACAAAACACATGCGAAACGTTGCCATACAACTTACAGTTTTTTCGTCGTTTCGCTGCCGCATGCGATTGCGTAGGTGTACTAAAGGCGTAAAGGCGTTAATTAGACAAACACGTCTTGTCTAGGTTCTCAAATCAAATTGATTCATATAGCTAACTACATACTTATAATAATAATATTAAAAACTTTATTTATGATTATGACAAAAGCGTTGTGACAGAAGCTCCTCATATTTATCGCTAGTCCCCACACTAGGGACGCCCTGTGTTATGGGTAACTAAAAACATTTATTACGTGGTACATGGTTCATGTTTAAAACAGATTTAAAAAAAAAATTAGTATTACAAATTAAGAATGAGGGAATGAGTGAGTGTGTGAATGGGTGTGTATGCGCATGTATTTGAGAGTGTAGCTGAAAGTTGTTATGATCGTGCACTGTGTCTGTGTTAGTTTTTGAAACCTCAAAGTCATATATGTAGTAATGCCTCTGTAGATTGGAAATCCTATTTGGCTAGTGTAATTCCTATGTGACTTGCGAGTTTGTATCTGGATAGTCTGACGATCTCAGAATCCATAGATTTGGAAATTTTATTATAAAGGAAGGGGCCCCTAAATGCAAAGAAGCGTTGGCCAAACACAGTCCTTCGTTTTGGCGTTGAGAATACAAAATGTCTGTTCTTAGATGTGTCCGGATTTATTAGTCCATGGAATTTATCTTAAACAGGCCGCTAAGATGCATAGCTTCCTTACTGAGAGGGTTTTTGTTTCTAGGTTGAGTTTGACTATGGGGTACCTAAATGGTCTGCGATAGGCAACTTTAAGGATTGCTCTTTGTGCAAGTTCCAACTTAATCAATAAAGATTCAGCCGTTCCTCCCCATGCTGATAGACAGTATGTTAGAATAGACTGACAAAGTGCTAAATAAATTATTCTAATAACTTCGTCCTCCGCTACTCGTTTCAGTCGATTGAAGATATACATAAGCTTTCTGACCCTAGAAGACTGCAACAATGTGCTTTACCCAAGGGAGGTGTCGATCTATTATTACTCCGAGATATTTTGTACTTTCGGTGTATTCGAGAACTGGACACTGGCATGGATATTGGTTAGGGTCATTGGGTCATTGGGCGGGCGCGATCTGTTATGCTGAAACACATAAATTTGGTTTTGCAGATTGTTTTTAAGCCAGTTGGAGACGCAATTTATACCTTTCTCTGCTAATACGAAAACCTGTTCCAAGTGCTAGCATGAAATATCATAGCTGTATCGTCGGCGAATGAATAAATATTTCCGTTGTCCAGTGGCACAGGTCGTTGATATATATTAAAAAAGGGTCGGTGCAAGCGCGCTGCCCTGTGGCACTTCAAATGTGACGTATTTCTTGTGACTTGTCTATCCCCTAAGGCTAACACTCTGTTGCCTATCCTTAAGGTTAAGAATGAAAACCATTGCAGAACGCTGAGCCACCCCTCTCACTCCTAACAGTTCCATTCTTCAAAGCAAAATGCAGTGTGAGACCGTGTCAAAGGCTTTTGCAAGGTCTAAGAACCTATACATACCTGCCCCATATCCAATTTCTCATTGATATGCTCAGTAAGATTACTAACAGCGTCTGCAGTAGATCTTTGTTTTCTGAACCCGAATTGGATGTAGGAAAGGAGCGATTGCTTTTCTAAAAATGAGAGCAGCCTCTTGTTCACTATTCTTTCTAGGATCTTGGCTATGACTGGAAGAAGGGATTTTGTACTGTAATTTGAACTTTTCCATTCTGTTTCCTGACTTCCAGATTGGGGTTACATTGGCTAGCTTCCATGTTTCAGGAAAGGTGCTGCTCGAGATGCTAAGGTTACAAAGGCAGGTTATGGAGCCGCTAGGATGTCTTTTAGTCTGATTATCAGTTCGCTTCCTATGTTGTCACAACCTCCAGCTGAGTTGCCCTTAAGTTTGTTGATAGTTACACGTCTTCGTCTGTTGGATGTAAGAAAAATTAGTTTAGGTTGGATGGCTTTTCTATATTTTTTGCTAGCTGTTCCTCAGATGTGTGTAAGTATGTGATAGTCCTTTCCGCTAAACTATTGCCTGTGTTTGTATAAGACTTGTTGGCTTTATTTAGAGCTACCACAGGATCGGGCGTTATTTGAAGTAGGTCAGTGGAATGCGACTCTTTTGACCCTATGTGGCAGATACTTTTCACTGACTCCCATAGTTTTTTGGTGTGATGTCTGTTCTGCCTAGTCGTGCTTTTTTCGTAGTTTTCCTTAGAAGATTATTGCAGAAGTTTCGACATTTTACATATTTCCAGTAGTTCAAGATCTTTGGGATGTTTACTAGCGGTTTTGTGAAGAATATCTCTACGTCTTACACATTTTAGGAGACCAGCGGTCATCCATGGTTTCCTGTTGATTTATGAGTTTCTTGCTGCTTGTATGATGGTATATTTTAATATGGCATTCTTCAGCGTATCGTTAAAGGTTTCAACTGCGCTATTTATCTCTGATGCCATAGAGGTGTGTCCAGTCGGTGAGCTTTAGTTCTTCTGCAGCTCCTTCATAGTTGATTCGGGTCTTGTTTCTAATGGCTTTAGGCTGTTGTGTTGCTTTGGGGATGGTGTTAATTCCTAGAATAACGCAAAGGTGATCTGACACCGATGAAGGGCAAATTGACACTTTAGTTGAGAGGCTTGAATTTACAAGGGCATAATCTAAGCAGTTTCCTTCTCGTGTAGGAAAGGTGTGGCCAGGTGCAAGTCCACGGTAACCTATAAGGTTTAAGTATTGATCTCTCCTGTATCACTAGACGATTCTTTTATATTGTCAATATTATAAAGAATTTAAGTTTCTAAATTCACTTTCACTACAAATTGCAGAATCAAAATTCAAATGGGAAAGCCAGCAGGAATAAGTCTTACCATGAACATTGAAATATAATACATTTATCATAAGAGCCATAATCATAGAGAACATAGACTATTGTTCTATTATTCTATATTAGGCTGATGTTCATATTTATTTATTCTTTGTAGTAAATATAATAATAACAAATGTTTTTTTATAAAATTTATTCAATTTAACATAAATTAATAATACATACACTATTATGTCCCGTTACTGGTAAAACCATACTACATGTCAATACAAATTACAGCAAAACTTATACAATGCATAGATTTATGGAATGTTGCAGTCTTATTTAGGCCTAAAGGTACATGGCTGAGCAATATCGTCACAGAAACTAGTTTTTATCTATCCCTGAAAACACCACAAACTTTATATCAACATCTCTAGTCACAAAGAAAAATAGGAAAATTTTGATGATTAATTTTTGTTTTTAATAATTATATAAAATATGTATTGCTAATGCAGAATTTTCAAAGAATATTTATAATAGTATTGCTGGAGTCTATATACCATGTAAAATTAATAAAAGAAGCCGTTATAATATATAATATGGCAACATTTAAAATTATTTCGAGATTCAATCCTGAGATCTGAAGCTGTTTTGTATGATTTGTTTGAAGTTAAATGCCTTTAACGAGTTTAACAGTTTCTGAAAGACATGTTTATGATTCATACATATGAACGCCTGTTATTTAATATTGCCGTATATTAATGTAAAATTATTTATTTTTTTATATGTTTTATCAATATTTAATAGTGTATAAAAAAATAAATTAAATAAACAAAAAAAAATAAAAAAATAATAATAGATATCATTGCAAAGTGACAAAATATTTGTCACCATTCATTGGAATGTGTAAAAGCGAATTAAATCACACGACAATGTTAAGGTCAGATTAACTTTGGATCAACTCCAAACAGCTGTTTGTTGTAAACTCGTTTGCTGTGGGGCATCTCCTCTTCAGAATTTATTGACAGATGACTTAGCAACACGTAACCTACACTATTCAATTAGACAAATAACTAAAGTTCTTTAGTTATCATCTCTTCGTCAAACCCAATTCAAACGATTATTAATTAATTCCTTATTAAGCGTATTTGTGCCATAATTTAAATCACAATTGTGTCCGAGATCTGTATTCGTTTCTTTAACTTTCTTCCAAATGACTTATCACACAAACGACTCACGTCCCTTACCACCTTAACGGGGCACGGGCAGATATATTTCGTGGCTGTTTAATGTTTTTCGAGAGCATCACGTATCGCGAAGCGGAGAAGTGCGGTTCGGCAATTCTGACTTTTGGCAAGGTCGACTTGGCCGCGTCACGGCTCGTCAACGGTGTGGGCGAATTCTTTAAATATTTGACACACGTCCCGTTCGCATCTTTTTGTCAGCATTTTTGCTTAATTTAAGGTCAAACACCGGCCTCGTCGCCTTCTCTATTTTGCCAGAGTGGGTTTGCACATAGAATACACGAACACGCGAAGCTTCCTGTAATTCTATATATAAAATAAATAAATAAAAGATAAAAACGACGTTCAGATACCACAATATCTCCGGAATCGAACGAAACGTCACGAGCAGACGGAATACGCAATACTAAATACTATAACAGTCGGTTGCAAATCGGCTCCGTCCGGCGACGAGCGGCGGAGGAGAAGCGGTAAAGCGGCTCGAGGGGTCGCTCAAACGGGAGTCCCGAAGTCGGGGTCTCCGTCACCGTTCACGAAGAGGCCGTGAGCCTCCACGCGACGCGCCGAACCTATCCTGGAAACGGAGTCGACTCGTGCTTAAGTTCGTTTACTGTAGCGTCGATGCAGACCGATGGAATATAAAGCTAATACCTGAAATTTTTAATTTCTTTCCTCGGCTTCGGGTCGCCGTTCAGCTTTCCTTTGTCGTCGAGACCGGTCGGCGCCGTCGCCCCGGCCGCCTTGCGGTCGACGGCAAAAGATGCGGAAGCGATCTCCGACGCCACCGAACTCACGGTCGAGACGGCAGGGGTGCAGGCGGTGGCGGCGCTCAGAGCTATCGTCACTTCTCGACCGACGGGCGCTTCGTTGTCGCAGGTGGCACCTGCAAACGAAGCGAACTTCAAGGGGACCGACTCGCCAGAGAGAGCGTTCGTCTCTCGGGCGCTTCGGTCGAGGGCCACCGACCGGATCGAGGCCGGTCGTCCGGGGCTTCGTCGTCGGAGCGGTGCCTCTGCTTTAGGGCGGCGTAGGAGCCCCTCGAGCGCCAATCGCGAGCGCGCGCCGCGTCCGCCTCACCCCCCGGCTCGTCCGACGACACTCCCTCCACGGACACCGCGCTGTACGCGCCTTTCGTCCTCCAGTCCTACAATTGTTGGACGGTGTTAACAAGTTTATAAGTAGCAATAATAATAATTAATGTGTATTCTGTGCTGCCTCGCTGTCGGCTACGTTAATTCATTTATTTGGGAATCATAAGCAAATACCACTCGATGTGATGTAGTAGAACTGCGTTTACCAGGGCCTTCCTCTTCTTGAGCGAGGTCCTGGCGAGGTGCACCGGCGTCGAGCCGGGCGAGGCGGACGGGGCCGGACTCCGTCTCGCCGCGACCTCCTCCAGCTTCACCATCTACGGAGCAGGAGCACGGTCAGCGGGGGAGCGTTCAAAGCTAAGCGGGACTGCCGACCGAAGAGTCCTTGCCTCGAGCCTCGCTTCGATCTTAATGGAGTCGTCGTCCATGTCGAGGATGTCGAGGTTGTTGTTGATGTTGTTGTAGTCGGGGTAAGGGGCGTTGTCGGGCCCGGTGGGGCCGGTGGGGGGGCCGAACACCACGAAGCGCGATTCGCTGCCGCTGCGCGATCTCTCCTCCGAGTTGCATCTGGAACGATTATTCGGTAGGTTTGTTTATAAGCTGATAATAATCTTTATTTACCAAAATAAATTGTAAAAAAAGCAGAATTCTATCAGTAATATACGTATTACCTAAATTAACATTTATATTTCAATCTACTTTTTCAAAATAAAAAAGCAATGGGTATGAGCTTAAGCAAGAATTGTAACTGAGTATTTTCCATTATTTATTTATTTATTAACACTTCGTTGTATTAACATAATATCGTAGGCCTCCGAATAAAAAGATTAGAACCTGTGGTTATATTCCGGAGTCCTCGGTGCCGTGGGAGTCACTCCATGGCCGTCCCTCTCGTCGCAGTATTCTTCACCGTCTTCCGGATACAAGGGAAACCTGAACATGCCACAATTCCATTGTACAATTCCTTCCTCCATTTTTTTCAAGAAACGGCATTGTGCAAATATGAAAGACCTGTAGTTGTCTTCGGAGAGCCTGTCCTCGTCGTCGGTGGCGATGTACTGCACGCAAAGTGCGCAGTCGCCCTTAACGCTCTGTAGCGCCTGCACGGCTTCCTTGTGGCACGCCTGCCGGAGTTGCACGAGCAAAACGTAAACGGCTCTCTCTATTCAGAGCAATCTTGGCAGGGTTCTTAAATTAACTTAACCATTAAATGCCTGCCCGTTTTAGCGTCGGCAGAGATTGTTCACAAATGTTCTGTTTCTCGACTGTTATCATAATTGTAATCACAGAATATACCTGCGTCAGGTCGACGTCGTTGATGGCCAGTATGGCATCCCCGACGTACAACTGTCCCGTCAGAGCGGCGGGACCTCCCGACTCCAACTCCGATATCAGGATGGGCACGCCGTGCTCGCGACCGCCCTGAAACGTCCGACGATTCTTATAATATTACTGCATATCAAAATGACCCCCTAGACTAATCCCAGACGAATACGCACCGTGACCGAGATGCCGAGGCCGAGATGCGGCGATCGTCGCACGCGCACGGTGCGCGGTCTGGCGCGGAGAGGGGCGGCGGGCCGCGGGGGCCGGGGGGAGGTGCCGCGGCACACGCGCACTAGGGTCTTGTGCCGCTGCAGCAAGATCTCCGCTTCCACCTGCGGGTTCCGACTTAGCTTTAGTGCAATATAGGGAACACAGTTCTATCTATACATATAGCTACTTCTTGCAATAAAAACAATAGACGGGCGATGCCGAATTTCTCACCTGCGCCCAGAGAGAATCTCTCAGTTCTGCTCGCATGTCGCTGCCCAGCAACTGCAGTTGTTGTATGCGTCCGGCCAACTCCTTATCCAAATACTTCGTCGCTAATCTGAGAAACCATTGGGCCGAGATGAGCCAAAGCGTTGTCCCGCTTTTTATCTTAAAAGAAATTGAATTTCTCCCGATTGTGATAATAGCGAATGTATGTGCTCAAACGGGATACAATTATTCTTTAACTCTTTAGCAACACTACGTTTCACTCTTTGTATACTTTCCTTAGTAAAAATTTCGATTTACTCTCTCACCTAGCACCGAACAGTTCCGAATGTAGCGCGAGAACTGTTTCTCGTAGCGCGGCATTTTCCCTCGCCAGCTGAGCTGCCTCCGCCCGAGCTCGCGCCGCCTCAGGGACGTTGCCCGCCACGTCTCCACCCTCTTGACAGCCACCTCGAATGGATTGTATACAAATACTTAAATAAGTTTTTCTACTCTCTATGCTCACAGAGTTTGTCTAGCTTAGGTTTATAATAGAATAATAGTGTCCTTAATTCACTTTTTTATTAATTTGGTTTAAAGTTAACGCAAAATTGCCGACAATCATTTATCAGTTGGTCATAATGTTTGTTTTAATTTATATTGTCTAGAGTAATAACAGACATTTATAAAACACAAAAGAGCTCACCGGCTGACGCCGCGCGTGCCTGCACCAATTCTGCCCTCATATCCACCAACTCGGCCTGAAAAAAGTGAAACTTGACTCCATTGTAATAGGAACATTCTACTATAGGCGTGTCAACAGACAATAGAATGTAATCGTAAACCCAGATCGGTTGAGCTTATTGTCGTCGCCGGAGATAACATCTTTGGAAAATTTGTAACATTGGCGTTGCACCCACATTGTCTAAACATATACTATTCACAACCTCGGCCAATTTATTAATAAGATAAAGGGGAATCGTCGACAACCCCGAACATTACCACTAACTAACTTTAATTGTATAAATGATTTTACAAATATTATTTATGACATTTTAACTCGAAACTCAACGAGCCGAAATTTATGACCGTGATTTAACTAGTTTATATAGAAAAACAGAAATGTATCGAACATTATATTTTCGTAATTGAAATATGGTGCTTCAATCAATTATTTTATTAATCGATCATACATTGAATATTTTCTTAACTCGGAAGTGATTTAAATTCGGGGCATTTTGCTCATTACAAAGATGCGATTGAGAAACAAATTACCTAACTCGGTTTCACTCGTTCAAGCAAATAGGGATTCAATCAATCGATACGTTAAGTGATGTAATAGTAGTACTTAGATAGAACCACTTCCAATACTTGTAATTACGATAAACACAAATTGAAGATTACCTAACACGCAAATTAAACGTTAATAAAATTATGCAATAACTTGGCCATTTATTGTTTAAGATCGATATGTGAAAATAAAAATTATAGAACTCATAAACCCTTTTATAGGCACTTCATTAGCGCATCGAATAAGTGAATAAATATGAGGCCAATAAACAATAAACACGACCTACGCCGAATTCAAGATCATTAACATAGTAATATTAACATATTATAAATACAGATAGTGGGCGTGACTTGTGAATATTATAACAGAATTCACACGTTAGCAGCAGACCAACTCTGCTCTCAAATCGCCGTACTAACTGATTGAAATATGCCCCGTACTCATTATCCTCGTTACATTGTGCGCTGAGATTGCCTGCAGATAACGTTCCCGCAAGATTGATTCCCTGCGGCTCTTAATCGGCGAGTGCATCTCGGACAGACAATTTGAATAGCCAACGCACGCGCCGCGCGTCTTCAAACTGAAGTCTTCACACAAAATAATAACAATAAATCACCGTTTGTGTCGACACTGCGGGACTGAACATGCGACATGAAATTTGAACCTAATTTGAATAACAGGTAAAGGTGTGTGATTTAAGTAACTATTCTGGACGCAGTCTCAGCATCTTAATGAGGCCACACATATCGAATTCGGTAAAGTCATAATTGATTTATGTAATGATAGCATTAGAACGCCGGATCAGGGAGATAGTTACAACCGATTGGTCGTAACTTACGCGTACTTAATAAACGGCTATTCCATTAAACGTTTCATCAATAGCGAAAGGAACCTCCAATAGTTCATTACACGTATGAAAGATCGTTGTTTAATCGGTCTCGCCGCGCCCTTTATTGTTCTCGGAACCGAGTATTGACTAGAATAATAGCGCTCGTTACATTAACATGTGGCGGTGAACGCGGCCGAGGCGCTATGGTCCTTCGCCTTTTCACTCATTGTCACTCGGTATGCAAACACCTCGCCACACTAACTGTTCTCGAATAATTTAAACAGACCGGAGGTTAATAACTTGCATCTTTACTAAACATTATTCCTTTGAACAAAGAGTTTGGAATGTTTAATTTCTTACGGTACATTGGAAGCATTAAGTCGTAAAGACAATTAGCCGTTATTTAAGGTATCCTTAGACAGTGTGAGGAGAACTCGCTTCTAACTTCATTTTTGTGCATGCAATTAAAAATGAACTGCCGGAGTCAGCCGAACCGGGTTCAAGACCCACGCACAAAAACATCTTTCTTGAGCAATTGCTTCACTTGTTAAACTTACGCATCATAGGAAATTGGGTCTATTAGAAAATGCACTTCAACAATTTGAAAGTATTCGAAAGGTGCTACAATGAGGACAGTCAATGGGCGTATGAGAGACATTACCACCCGGGCGCATAACGGACTGACAGAGCATGCGGTCGAAATCACGGCGGGATGTCGATTTCGACTTTTCTCATGCTACCACCAATACAACAGCAAAAGATTTTCTCCGTTCCCACTTTGAATAAATCGCTAGCAGGAAAAAGGAAAGTCTAAAGGTGTACTAACAAGCATAAGATGAGTTTCGATTAAAGACTATTGTTCTACAATGAAAACAATGAATGCGTACATAAATGATCCACTGACAAATGACGGCGGACGGGATAATCACACGGCGTCTCTTGGGAATCTTCCAAGTAGTTGACTATGAAATTAATTTGGTTTATCTTCATTTGACATTTGTCCGATATGTAATAAAATATAACGGATTCTTAGATGTTACTCTAATCTTTTTTAATTTAATCGGTAAATTTATCAGACTTCAAGGCTATCCCGAGGAGACGCTTCGACCGTACTTAATCGAACAAAAGCTTAAGAATTTGAAATAGAGGATGAGATTACCTCGAACCACTACAGCACAATGACTTTAATAAATGAAGGAATTACTTCGTTTTAATGTATTAAATCACTGCACATCATCAATGAACTTTTCTCAATTTGAATTTCGATGAACCCCTATTTATAGGATATTATAAATGCATTGCGAATGCCTCTATAATAGAATCGGATATGTTGTCGGCATTTTAATTTGACACGTTTGTGGCTGACCGTTGATCACGAGTGTCTATAATTTTCAATTACAAAGCTAAAAATTGTTTTTTGAAATATACTAATTTGAAATATATATAATTGGAAATAGAGCTAATAATTAAGCCTTTAAGCTTAGTTCTACGAAAATCAGTTGAATCATTCAGCGACTAGTCAGTTGCATTATACCTACTACTTATTGAATTTATAAAAATAGACATTGGTCATATAGCAATCATCAGAAAACTATTTATTTAGTCTAGCGAAGACTTATTGTAGACGAAAAGATGTTTATTTATGAAGAAGCGAGATATAAGCGGTGAAATGCAAACGACATTATTGCACCTGGCAATGCGAGCGACGTCATCAGGTCTGCAGTGCACTTCTAGGAATCGGGTCTATGCACCGTCCAATGCGAAGGTAATGCATTCTTGTTAACTTCCCGTATTAGATTACCAATTCAATGTACAACTAAATCTGACCATTTAGTTGTTACATTCGCTACACATCAACTGAGATTAGTCCACATATATTTCATTTTGAGCGATTAAGATATTACAATAAGTTAAATTACTAAACATTTTACAAGACATAGAATTAACTCTAAAACCCATTTGAAATTGTGAATAGTTATTTCGTATGACTAATAAGCGAGTAATTATAGTACATATGCTAGTTTAAATTTTATGAACGCGCCAGACCTATTCGTGCAAGTGTTTAGTTTATTTACAGCTGAAGATTATGAAACAAATCCAAGCCGAGTTATTACTGCAATCCCTAGAGCTTAATCGCTTAAGGAATTTCAAATAAAAACAAGACCACTAAATTGTCAACAGTGTATTCTGTTTACGCACCTTATAATATCATAATTGGTCTCGATAAGCAAAAAAATAAGATTTGATCTTATGAGATCCTTGAAAACCAGTTTGCATGCCTCAATATTTGCGGTCACAGTCGCAAGAGAAGGTACGTGTTAGCCCGAGAGATTCATTAAACTCACCGCGAACACGTCTGAATCGAACATTTCAAAATCCAAGAGAATATTTCTTACAAACGTTGTGTAAAACAAAAAACTTGGCGATTAAAAAGAGTGGCGGAGAGTTTATTGCCAGTTCTTTTCTTCCGTTCTACGCCGTTGATTTGAGAACTGGCAGTAAATGTAAAATTAGAAGCATTTAAAGTATATTTCTTTTTTGACGTTCATAAGTGTACATTGTGTTACCTATATGAATAATGATTTTTGACATTTTGACTTTTAATCGACAATATTCCTTCTCAGCCGTTTCAATATCTTTTTAGATAAGACGAAGGTCTATCTCAAAATGTTGTACGATTAGATGACCGCGAAATCATCTTAGTGCACCTTTGCAGGCTTTACCCGTCACTTCTAGACTGACATTGCGTACTGTGTAGCCGTGTAGGTAGGATAAGCTAAGCTTAAAAATATGGGCGCGGTTTCGCACGATACACCATAAAACATAGGTTTTCGGTTAGTAGGGTAATGGGCATAAGCCTATTTGACGCCAATGATTCCTCATTCAGAATGTCACGTACGTAATTCGTAATCCTGCACAATTCTTACATTGTATAAGAAAATGGTTAAGTTTATCCGATCGGCACAGGTGTGGCACCATGTAATTGGAATTTACAGGTGCTAATAATATGCGTTTCAATGCAACGCAAAATATTGCGCCCGCGACATCAAATTTCAATATGAATAAGTTTCTTATGTGGGCAATAAATACAGTATTTATTATTACAAGGTCAACTTTTGGGAAAGCTGTAAACGGCACAGAGCGTGCTAAAAGCTTCTTCAAAGCTAATTAACGAAACATGACGGTTCAACTGCAACTGGTGTTAGACAACATGGCCTATGTTATGGCGCGATGAGGAGCCATTATTTTTAATGCCTCGCAATCTAATCCACGGAGGCGCCGGAGATCACACGTAATAGCTCTCAGTTTATGTGATCACTCAAAGTCAGATACAACTTTATTGTCCGTTAACGCAAAAACTATATAAAGAGTACTGTTATTACGGAAAGTCAGAAGAAATCTATTTAGTCAACGCTATTTACGCTAACACTAGCATTCATCTTGGCTTTAGATATCTGTACTGTTTCCTTGATAATTTTACATTTATAGACAAACATGAGATCAGCATGCTGTGCCCGAGACTGGTTTCTTGTGAGAAAACTATAAAGTTTCGATTGACACTTCAGTGGTGCACAGCTAGGGTACGACGCATGACCTAAGCGTTGGCAGTCGCCCGCCCAAACGCT